TCTCAACAGTACGCAGAGGAATTATGCCCAGATTGAGAAAGAGATGTTGGCTGTACTTCATGGCTTGGAAAGATTCTCCCTGTATACTCATGGGAGAGAAGTTTTGGTTCAAACTGATCACAAGCCCTTACTTAGCATAGTGAAGAAGCCTATGCACATGATTTCTCCTAGACTTCAAAGAATGCTTCTTAAGCTGATGAGATTCAGTTTTCAGCTAGAATATGTACCTGGTAAAAATCTATGCATTCCAGATACTTTGAGTAGGCAACCTATGAAGGATGAAAAAATGAATACCCCGTACCTAGAAGGTCAATCAGTTGCAATTCATACCATCATAAGCGCAAACGAAGGAAGAACAGCCGTTTTGAAGAAAGCCGTTGAGAATGACCCTGTAATGACAGAAATAATTTCTTATGTCAAGCATGGGTGGCCTAGATATAAAAACGATATCAAATCTGGAGCAAAGAATTATTGGGATGTTAAAGAAGAAATCCATTCAGCAGACGGATTACTGTTCAGAGGCAACAGATTAGTGATTCCAGCTTCGGAAAGAAGAAGAATCATTGAAAACCTTCATTCAGCACATCAAGGCGTTACATCCTGCCAAAATAAAGCACATAATTCCCTGTATTGGACATCCATGTTGAAGGATATCGAAAATTACGTACTCAACTGTCAAATTTGTCAAAGATATTCCAAATCTAATATCAAACAACCACTAAACAGTCATGAAATACCAGAATATCCCTGGAGTAGAATAGGAATGGATTTCATGAAATTGAAAAATCAAGAATTTTTAGTTATGACTGATTACTTCTCCAAATTCGTCATAGTTAAACCTGTTCAATTGAAAACTTCTAAGGCTATTTGTAGAATTCTGGAAGAAACGTTCCCGATTTTTGGAATCCCAATGGAAATAATGTCTGACAATGGACCACCTTTCAGTTCAATGGACTGGAGAATTTTCATGAATTTTCACGATATCAAGCATATTACATCAAGTCCCACATATTCTCGTTCCAATGGTATGATCGAGAGACAAATTCAAACAGTGAAAGCCTTAATAAACAAGTCGTCTGAAAAGAGCATTCCAGCAATAATTTTGGAATATAACACGACTCCAAAACATGGTTTACCATCTCCTGCGGAAATGCTTATGGGAAGAAGACTAAGGACTAACCTACCTACGGCAAAACAATTGCTCATCCCTAATTTTGAAACATCCCAAATGAGAGAAATTCAGAAGAAGAATCAAGATAAACAAAAACAATATTACAACAAAATTTCCAAACCCTTATCACAACTTGGTGCTCAAGACAAAATCCTGATACAAGATCACGTTCGTAAATGGACACCCGGTATAGTTGTTGGAGACACTGATCATCCAGATTCATACTTGGTTCAAACTGAAGAAGGAACAAATTTGAGACGAAATCGAGTACATCTTAGACCTCTGAGACAAGAAAATAACTCTGAGTCGACCATGACTCCTGTTAACAGCGATCCCACGAAGAAATCAGACAGAGCATCACTAAGACTCGATGTCACAGCTACACCGCCAAGGCAATGTACACCTGGCGCAACATCCCCAACAACGACTACGGCTGATCCTGAGTGCTCCACACACACGGGCGATGAATTGCAGAGATCAAGAGATGACCTTCAGTTACCCAATGAGGACTTCCAGAGGCCTAGGAGAAGTTATAAGAAACCAGCCCGTTTCGAAGACTTTCAATTGTTTTAATTTGTTTTTTTTTAGAAAGGGCATGTGATATAATTGTTTAATTGTTATCTAGTTTGTCCTAGATCCTAGATCATACTTTATATATGGTTGCTAGGGAATCGAGGATTTCTGATTGATGGCTTTTGGGCCTTTCATGTAATAAATGTTGAGCTGAATAAAACTGATATTTAACTCCATTATACATCACAATTTGTATTATATTACATCCTGAACAACGTTTCCAGAGACGATATTTTCTAACGTTTCCTTCGATATTTCGCAAACTCATCTTTCGATTTGAAAAATGAAAACAAATGTTTTTAGAATTTTTTTTTCAACGAGTTGCCACAAAACCTACAATGCCATTTGAAATTTTTGATGGGGTGGCAGTGGAGGCAAAGGGGATGAAACGAGCAAGGTAATTTCTACGTGAAAACATGTCCCCCTCATAATTATTGTTTACATGTCTCGGCGATTTTCCAACAACCGTCTACTCAACGAGATATTACGGGTGGGAAGTTTTCGAATGAACACCAGGTATGAAATGAACGTACTAAATGAATTTATGAAAATAAACTAGTGCACACAATTAATAAATCCAATTCAATCGATTTCCAGTAGGTTGAAGAACCCTCACGTACACAACCAATAGATCTCAATCGAATCAAATGACTGAAGGTCGCGCTGAAAAATTGAGTCCGAGATTGACCCAATTCCGATGACTTGACTATGGTATAACTTCGCACCAACACAGGTAACCTTAACCTTAAACTGGAACGGAAACGTCACAAGCAATTCGCGAAAATTTATGTTTGTCACTTTGCCTGTTAGCATTGATAGCGAATAAGATGTGTAGTTGTTTAGATGTCGAGGATACCGCCCAGGACCGGCGCAGGAAGAATTCGGGTGGGACTTCTAATACGTCCATGTTTTCAATGGGCTTATATCACAAAAAAAATGTATTTCATAATTTGATAGAACTCACCCAAACTAGCTCACCACCGCAAACCGTTTCTTGCTGTGAGCTCCCTACGTTTTATGGAAAATTATTGAAATCCCTGATTTTTCGGACCTCTGAAAACGAGGCGATGATGTGAAGTCAAAACCCTAATACTAAAACAAGACCATTCGAATGTTACATGATTTCTGACAGAGTGAATTAGCTCGAGATCACAGTCGAAAGAATTAATATATCAGTTGCCTCAGTCTCCGTCGGGCGTTTGGTATTTTCTTTTAACTATGGCAAGAAGAGGTTTCTACGTCATAAGAGGGTCCGTCTTCAGAAGGTATTATTATTTATGTCCAAAAATAAAACATTCCAGTTAATTTTTCGATCGAATTGTGTCGTCAATCATCATTTATGTATAAAAGGATCATTATAAACATGGTTTGAGTTAAAAGTTTTACTGAGGTGTACACGCCCATTTGTTATGGGCAGACCTGTACTGCAGAAACCACACTGACAGTATAATATATTTTTGCGTAATGTAGCTCTCTTATATAGGTTTACCTCTAGGTATAAAAATACAGGTACAGGATAGATTGAAATGTGTTTTCGATATCTATCGATAAAGGACACTATATACAGGGTGTTTCACATTGTAATCCGGAAAATGCAATGGAAAGAACCCTTTAAATAGAAAAGTCCATGTCAGCTTGCACGATTCGCTGTTTCGTTTTCGAGATACAAGTTATTGAAGTTTTTTGAAAATGAATGTTTCTTATTCACAGCTCGAAAACTCATTCGCTTATTTGTATTCCAGTGGCGTCCCAGAAGGTTACCTAATTGATATTTATGGTGAAATCATGGTGATCCATTTTTATTCAAATTTCATGTTTTCATTCGATTCAACAATAGATTCTATTTCAATTAGTCTTTTCGTTTTTTTGCTCAGTTCCCGAGAAACAAAATTGAATCCTGATACGAATTCAAATTCTAATGTAGGTCCATCCACTAGCTATGAGAAGTATAATTTGGAGATTTCGAAAATGTGTGTGTGTCACAGACTTCTAACGTCAGCACCCTATGCCTCGAAAATTAATCTCCAAAACATACCCATAACATACCTTTTCTTTTTATTTTTGCGAGTGCTATCGCGTATCAAATTCTCCAAATCGAAATCAGAAACACCCTGTATATTTACAGTATTATCTGGATATCGAGATACAGATCGCTTTTATGATTTTGACTATTTCGCATAAGCTATTTTTACTTGGTAGGTATATGTCACTGATATCAACCATGAAAACTAAATAGGATCATAATCCAGTTCCGCCTTCAAGAAAACTGAAGTTATCTGATGATGTCAAAAATATCACCCTCTATACAAAATTTTCATACCTATTCGACGATTTTATTTATTTGGATATTTGAAAGGATTTCCAAACTAATAAAAATCATTTGTGTTCATTTTTCCTTTTTCTTGTTACGCTTTTAGTTATGTAGTTATGTGGGTATTTATATAAATTAATTCGAAAGATACATTCCATTAGGTTTTTATAATCCTGTTTGTAATCTTCTCGAATAAATATATAAATAAATGTATGAACAAATGAATAAACTGTCATTTTCGAATTTTGTATCAGAATTATCCAAACCATTTCTGTTTAACGGAATTCTTCATTAAAAATGTATGCGAAATGTAGACGAAAGTGAAATCGAAGAGAATGTCCTGCATATTTCCAAGAACTCTGAAAATTCTCTTAGTCACAAAGGTTAGTGAGCAAGCCATTTTAATAGTAATACATTATGTATCCTTTGGACTGGACACATTTACAACCAATATCACTCATACGTGTCTCGTTGGTTGCATGCCGTTGCATAGTTTTATGTATCATGTTCTCAATTCCTATTCCCTTCGAATTATTTTGTAGGTTCGCAGGTAGGTTAATCTAATTTTTGGGATTATGGGATCTAGTCGTAGAGAGAAATAATGAGTTCGTAGAGAAAGTATAGTATTTAACGCGTCTATAACCTCTTCTAGACACTCGTTTATTGAACACTCGCTTCGTTCTGCTTCGCTCGTGCTTAAAATACTCGTTACTGAACAGACTTTTATAACATTTGTTACATAATATACTATTGAATACCAGTTTCACTTCAAGAACAACGTGGTCCACGATTCTTCCACAAGTATTATCGATAGAAAATGAAGCCAACATTTTGAATGAATATTGCCCAAGATTATTAATAAATTCAATGATTTGGAACGACTGATTTAGATGATAGAGTGGAATTATAAATACGGTCCTGAATCTAGCTGAAGTTGATACGCGTGGGGGAGTATACGTTAATATTATCCGTTGTAAATAAAACAAAAACATTATAAAAGTTTGAGACATAGCAATTCAAAGTAGTTTCAACATAACAGTGTGGGTGAAAATTATTTTAATGAGTGGTAGAAGCTGAAAAATGTGTTCAGACAAAGATGAAAGAAAGTGAGTCTAGATTTTTTTTTCAATTAAATTGTTGAATTTTTGTTTTCGCAATTCTGACATTTTTAGAATCAAAGACGTATTCCCCATCATTCATTATGTCAAAAATCTTATACTAGAAGCATATTCACCCTTGTTAAATACAGGGTGGAAACTCATAATTCCAGATTTTTTGGGATTTTCTTTCCTCGTTTTTATACAATAAAAATATTAGTATTATTTCAATATACGTGTACTGATGACAAAACCGATCGTTTGCCCCAAATTTCACTACGCTTAAAAATTTTCCTATTACAAAGCCTAAAAGAAAAATTCATTCGCTTGTCAGTGGCAATTTGTATTGAAGAAGGTTTGAAGAAGAGATATATAGGTATATAGAAAAAATATCAGATTTTCACTTATCTTGGATGGAAGTTTCGGGAACGAATCTGCTTCCGTTTTCAACATAAAAATGGAAAATATTTGTCTCGCAAATTTGTCAGGTTTTCGTCTTGACACTTCTCAGTGACAGTTGGTGGTTAGCGAACAAATGAGTTACAGTATGTTTTCATCAACTAATCTTGAATTTACCATTTCCATTTTCAGAATTCAGTAGTGAATACCATGTTTTATCTATATCAACTGAACAGGAAGCAATGCTTTTGTCTGGAATGAATTTGTTAGCAAGAAGGGGAATATTTTTTCTAAACATTTTCGGCATACGTCAACGTTTTGATGTAACTGTGAGTTTGAAACGAATTGTTGTTGCAAACTGGTGAAAATATCGATGATTTTATGAAAATACGTTGAAAATACTTTGAATTCACGATTAATGTTTTGATATCATGCGAACCTGAAACGTACTATAAACTAAAATCAGTAAGTACACTGAATTCCTCTTTCAATAAGCTTTCCAATCAGGGGTCACAAGCCAATCAAGCCATAGGATATCATTCGAAAAAAACATGTTAGGGCTAATTTCAGCTACTCCTGAAGGGTTATATCCTGCATATTGCTTGAAAGATGTAGGTTGATACATTAAAACGTAGACGTGTCTCAAATTTTTAAAAAAATCATTCATTTCCCCGCTGGCGAATTCATTTCAGTTCTAGTATTTTGATTGATTAGTGAATGAATAAGTGCGTGGATTTGAAGATATACCTACTAGTATTATCTGTCACACATCAAATACAGGGTGTAAATTTGAAAACTTTCAATGCGAATATCTCGCGAAAGAAAAAAGTTAGAAAAACGCCGTTTGGCGAAAATGCTAAAGAGTTAAGGGGAACTAGAACCACCATATTTCGGCCAAGGGATGAATCACCCCGTCGGCGCGACACACCCCAACTTTGAAATGTCAAATGGCACTACCTTTTTTGTGATGCCTCAAATGAACAGTCTCAGTCAGTAGTATTCACCTGTACAAGACTTTTTTTCCACCCACTACAGGGTGTACGAAAAATATAAAGTCGAATGAAATAGAATGAATTGTGTTAGAAGGATATTTTATTTGATCAGATGTTCAAAATGCATTTCATTCTGTTGTAGGCAATGGTATAATCGAGTTTCAAATGCCATTCTAACATTTTGGAACACATCTCTTGGAATATATCGGCATTCTGCTTTTTATTTTATTCGACTTCATGTTTTCCGTTCACCCTGTAGTGGGTGGAAAATAAGTCTTGTACAGGTGAATACTACTGACTGAGACCGTTCATTTGAGGTATCACAAAAGAGGTAGTGCCATTTGACATTTCAAAGATAGAGTGTGTCGCGCCGACGGGGTGACTCATCCCTTTACTGAAGTATGGTGGTTCTAGTTCCCCCTAACTCTGTAGCATTTGTGCCAAACGGCGTTTTCCTAACTGTTTCATTCAGCGAGATATTCGCATTGAAAGTTTTCAAATTTAGACCCTCGAATTAATGTTTTTCGTACACCCTGTAGTGGGTGGAAAAAAGTATTGTACAGGTGAATACTACTGACTGAGACCGTTCATTTGAGGTATCACAAAAGAGGTAATGCCATTTGACATTTCAAAGTTGGGGTGTGTTGCGCTGACAGGGTGACTCATCCCTTCACTTAAATATGGTGGTTCTAGTTCCCCTTAACTCTTTAGCATTTTTGCCAAGAGGCGTTTTTTTAACTTTTTTATTTCGCGAGATATTCGCATTGAAAGTTTTCAAATTTACACCCTGTATATTTATTACTAGCTGTCCGGCCCTTGGCTTCGCACGGTTGGTGTACCCAATTTAAAAAAAAAATAAGTCATTTGTTGCAGTCGTTCTGAGCTATGCGCGTATCTAGAGTACATATTTTTTGTTATTTTTTTCATTTTTCGTGCTTACCTATATTCCATTCTCCCAGTCTCTTGTGTATTTTTTTTTTTGTTGTATTACGTATTAACAATTTCAGCCTAATCGAATCAGCTGTTTGAAAGTTTTGTGAAAAAGATGAGTACGGGAGGATAATTCTCACTACCCGTTGTCCTATCCCCCCTTTTCCCGTATGAATGGAGCATTTTCTCGCGGTAAAAAGAAGTCTATGTTCATCAGAAATAATGTCGGCTTTATATGGTGGAAGAATTTTTTGAATCGGCCCAGTAGTTTCGGAGCTTATTCAATACAAACAAAAAAAACAAACAAATCTTCCCTAATAGTGTAGATTGGAGAAATAAAAACGAAATAATATCTTGAGAAAACAATAATTGTGAGTGAGATTCCGCATTACACAAATATCTTTTCAGCGCTGAGGACGAAAGCTATTCTATCAAAAACGGTAAAAATGACGCTCAGTATAAGATTCTACAACAATGCCAAGAAAGACAGAACAAGAGTGAGAACAGAAAACGAATTTTGGCACAGGTAAGTAGATATTATAATAACTTTCTTCTACGGCTATAACACAATATTCTTCTTGTTTTAGTGTGTTCGATAAATCAATGAGGTGTTTTCTATGTCATCAATTTTATTTCCTTATCTGATATCACAATGATATCAATATGACAATCAATATGACAATGTATCAGAAAAGTTGCTGTAAACTTCATTTTCGTTGGAAATAATTATCATTCCGTGCTCGTTAAAGAATATACTATTTTTTACTACCAATATACTGTTATATGAGGCGCCGTTTGGGTCAAAAGTGTGTATCCATATATATACTAATTCATGCCGAAATATTTATTAGTTGCAGCAATATATATTATTTTCAACCGAAATATTTTATGAGGCGCCGTTTGGGTCAAAAGTGTGTATCCATATATATACTAATTCATGCCGAAATATTTATTAGTTGCAGCAATATATATTATTTTCAACCGAAATATTTATTAGTTGCACCAATATATATTAATTTGCTGCCCCATATATTTATTATCCACAAAACCCAATATATTTATGTTTCAAGCGTTACCAATATATATAAACGTGTATATGCAGATGCTTATATAAATGTCAGCTTTTTCATCTTTCGAAGAGATGGCGCAACGGACGCACGCGTATTGATTTTATTCGGGATTGAGCACTTGGCATCAGCGCAGTCATTAGTACATGAAGTGGATAGTAGATGGTGGAATGGATAGAATTTAATCAAGGTTGGTAGAGCTGAGGATCAGGGCACTTTGTTCAGTGTTCACATATTTTGTGTTTTGCATACATTTTATTTCTGCTATTCAAATTGTGTTAATTCTTGAAGTTATCACAGAAAATATCAAATATCATTGTTGAATCATCATAACATCGTGTGTGTTATTAAAATTATACTGTCTTAGGGATAGTATTACAGCTACTAAGAAGCCTTTCATCAAACCTGTGACATTCTGTAGGATTATCAGGAAAAAATCACCCAACCATTTCAACTATCGGTGAATTAGAAAGAAGATGATATATTTGCAATGGCAATGAACAATCTGAGCACAAAAACCGACCAAAAGCAATGTGCTAATCTGTCTACTGGCGCATGTTCACACTTCACTCAGCTCTGGACTCAGCTATTGTGCCTCAAATTGATCATAAATTCCATACCAAGATATTTCATATGACCACAACATGCTTATAGCTGCAGCTCCAGGAAGCATTTTTCAAGTCAATATGAAGAAAGAACTATTTCAACTCACAAAAATTCTAATTTTTCCATCTGTAGAATGATGTTTGCAAATTTGGAATTTCCCTTCACAACAACTTCAGAGATTACCCTGGATTTATAGTAGATATCATCAATGGCCCAACCTCAGCAATATAACCTACTTCTAGCATCTTGGAGGCGTTTTTATATAGCACCACAGATATATTGAAAACATGCAAAACTCTCACTACCAACAATAATAGCAAATTGTCATGATCCTATATTTGTGTGATTTGTATCCATATTAAGTGTGCTCATTTTCATAAGGACAATATAAGTACTATACCTACATCAACATAAGGTAGATTTGGTGTTCATCTATATCTTGTTGAATTAGTTTTTTTTATCATATTGATGAAATCTTCCAGTAATCTGGAGTTCCACAACATTGAACTTTGTTCAGATTACCTAGATGATTTTGTTAGTGATTATAGGTATCATTTTGTTATACTGAATTCATCTAAATAAAAATATCTATGTACCTATTATGAAGTTTATATTCTGGAACTGAATACTGAATTCATTCATGAGATCGACCTTGGTTCCATATGGAGCGTGTGCACTGTGCATTATGGACCTGTCACCTGTCATTAGTGTCATTATATCCTACTCACACTCACTCTGACTTATGTTTGGGAATACCATATCAAACACCAAGAGACATGACGCGCATGACTCGATGTGTCCTAAACGACAGTTTGGATATTCCTGTGCGTTGAGCAGAAACGTTTCTAGAAGAGGAATAAACAAGATTTTCGGTTGGCTGAGATATGACTTATAGCGGTCTAGTGATCATGTCAGTTGTGCTTGTGACGTCAGAAGCCCAAAACAACTCCAAACCTCTTATCCGCTCCATGATCGCACTGTGGCGCTACCTCATTAGCGGTATTCAAGGTCATCATCTGACGTTGCAATGACATGAAAACTACGGGAAAACATTCCTACTCAGGCTGAGTTAGACATGTTTGTGTTCTCCATATACGTATTAATAATCAATACGGATAATCTCTATCTGTTTCCATAGCGAAACATGAAGCCGATTTTTGAAGACAAATGACTATCCATAAGGAAAAGTTTTGAAACGATCAGACACATACTGCTTTGATTGAAAGGCTAGTATATAAACGTCATTGTCCACCGAAACGCATGTCTTTGATGACTACTATAATAGCGCATGGCGCATGCGTATCATGCCACCAAATCCTTATGGATATTCATTTGTTTCATATTTTTGGCTTCATCCTGGCACCCGTTATGATCCGTGTGTTCTCACATGGTTCTCACGTAGTTTTTAATTTTTATGTCATCGCAACATCAGACGTCAGATGATGACCTTGGCTAACGCAAGGGACCCTAGCTACCGCGATTTCAATGCGTTCTTATATGCTGTTCTTCTTTTCAGCGAGTTGAATCGAATGGTACTATTTTCGCTATGAATTTCAAATAGAAGTATCGACGTAATGAAGAGTGCTGGAATGTAATAGATCTATTATTGTTTCCAACAAGAAATCAAACAACCATGACTTTCTGTACAGACGCATTTTTAGATCAATCAGACCGACTTTGCCAAAGACTCTCGACAGTTATAAAACTAGTAGCATGCTGCTGTACGGCTTGTAGCCATGATACAAGGAATACACCTTGTATCATGGCTTGTAGCAATTAACTCAATATAAATTGAGTTCATTGGCTTGCAGTGATGAACAAGCCAACACACAATATATCAAAACGTTCGAGTGGCGTGATTATGGACTGTGCATCTATCATAGAAATAATAATAAACACTATTATTATTTCTATGGCATCTACTGGCACCTAGAGACAGGAGGAAAGAAACACTTCCGATTTGACCCAGAGGTGCATCAATTATTTTTTCAATTTCGAATACGAAGTATACATATTTTTTGAAAATTACGATTCAGTATAAAATTTTCTTTCTAACGAATATATCACAATTATACTTTCGATCTAAAATCTACTCATATAATTGAGATTTCATAAAAAATTACTCATTGTAACCTTTTGGTCGAACCGGAACTGCCATATTTGTATGCAATCAAATCGATCTACCATATTTGGAACACCCAGTCAAGATAACAAAGAATTATTTGATGACGTCATCAATTAACTTACCAAAAATAAAAAATAAAGCAAATCAGGCTTAAAATAAACCTTACTAAATCCCATTCCAGAAATTTTCCAGATTTTCCTGTCAGTTTTCCTTTTCCTATAATCGAGCTGCGATATATGGAGTTCCACTACTCACCCTGAATAGAATTAATCATTCCAGAATTACGTCATTTGACAGGTTGCTGAGGGGCAAACATTGTATAGGTCGCGTGCAAGAACTGTCAGATGACCGACCCTGGAGGCAAAACATATTTGTTTACAAGTGATCGAAATAGTTTTCCACAATTATTTTGGCATAATTATGAATCGTATTTTTCCGCAATTCATCAATTCGCTAATGCCATCACATTGTGCTGTTGTAAAATGCACAAAAACTGCAGTGGAAGATGAAGAAATCCAGATGGTACATTATGATTCAAAAGTAAGTACCTACTATAGTCACTCACATAGTTTTCATTTTTGAAATTTGGTTATTTCTCTGATTTCTCATCGGAATTCCTTCTGCAATAGGATCAGCTAATAGAAATATACCTGAAATTTCTAGAATAATGCAAGAAGATTGGATTCATGCAATCAATCGGTAGGACTGGTCTGACATGCTGACGATCGTGTGTGTTGTAGACATTTTCAATCTATTAGCAGCATTAGCTTGTATTGCAGAAGTAGCAGAAGGCATAAAGAATTTCAATAAGGAATGACAACATTTCATAATGCTAACTATGTGAGATTACTATTTACCTGAAAAATCATATTCCCTAATCTCTTGCTGCATTTTTTGTGCATTGTACAATAGCACAATGCGAAGGCATGCTTGAATTAATGAATAACGCAAGAAACACGATTCGTATGCCGAAATATTGTGAAAAACTATTTCAACCTTTTGATTCCTCTGTAACCAAATAAAAAAGTGAGGTTGTGTTTCAATAATTCACAGAAGAATGAGGTTGTGTTTCAATATTTTGCCTCCAGGGTCGGTCTTCGTGCACGCGACCTATTTTGTCAAGATCTGTCAAATAAAACCAGAATTAGTGGGATCGTTTTCCTTGGAATACGAGTTAGAACCAGAAAGAATTTCATAATTATGTTTGGTGAAACTGTTTTAATATTGTGGATGTGGCTGGGACAGCCAGGGCAATGATCATCAAAGGTAACCTAACAGATAGTTTGTGTGCCCCTCAAGAAACCATGTCAAAATCACGTGTTCTAGAATGATCAATAGAACTTTATTCACCTAAGACCATGAATAATACTACAGGAGTACCTATCAGACTTCACAATATACAGGGTTGATGGGCAAATATGTGTCAAACAATTTTTTATTCGGAGTTTGGCATATGTGTGATTGGTTTTTGTAGAGATATGAGATGAAATGTGGATTAATAAAAGAGGTGGAGATAAAATTCACTGGTGCATGTAGGATGACTTGCTCAAGTATAGTGTAAATTACAGGAAGTGTATAGGAAAGTTCTACACTGCTCAAGCAAAAGAAATGACCTATAGGTACTTCATTTTATATCTATGGATATCTCAATCAGATCACACCAAAAATTGACGAATATTTGCCCACATCAATAGAGAAAAGTTTGATTGGATTTCTACCAGGAAGTTT